TTCACTATATAGAATTATAGGTTTTTGAATATGCAAGTAAAGGATCTTCTTACATGTAAGAAGATACACAAGACATTGGGGGAGAGACTAGTAGGGATGACTGACAAGATTTAGAAAGAGATGGATGAGCAGGTCGTTGCAAAAAACAGGATGTCTTATCGAAGGGTTTATTTAGCATCGTGGTAAAAGAGACGACATCGAAAGAACTGATGAAGGCCTTGCACGACAGGTATGAGAAACCTTTTCCAACATCAAAATACTTCTCTCGAGGAAGTATTTCAATATCCACATGGAGGAAGAAACCTCGGTGAATTCCGACACTAATGAACATAGGGACATATTGAACAAACTGGAAGGGATGTGTATCAGGATCGATGAGGAGGTGAAAGCCATAAAGCTGCTGACATCTTTGCATGATAGTTGGGAGACGATAAATACCGTCGTGTCGAATTTGTTAGGAGATAATAGTCTGAAATTTGTAGCTATTTGTGATGTTGCCTTATTTGAGGAAACCGGAAGAAAATTTGGGAAAATGTTTGCATCTATTTCAGGGGCAGAAAATAGGATTGAATCATATATGGTAGTATAGAACAAAGGGAAGACAAAGATTAATTACACAGGGAAGCAGCAGCAGAGAAATAATAGGGCTAATGGGAGTTTCAGCAGGGAAGTAGACTATTATTACTGCCACAAGACGGGACACATTAAACATTTTTGCAGAAAGTTAAAAGAAGAGTTTGAGAAAAAGAACAACACTGCAAATGTTATAACAGAAGAAGAAAAAATTGAAGAGTTTCAAGCTTGCGTTGAGTGGAACACATCTGTAGACTATTCATCAGAGTGGATAGTGGACATTGCAGCATTAGTGCATGTTACTTCAGATAGTCATTGGTTCTCATCTTTTCCTGCATGTGATCATAGCTTAGTGAGGATGGGGAATGAGAGTGTTTCCAAGGTGAGAGGAATTGGAGATGTTTGTTTAAAGACAAGTGAAGGGGCCGAGTTGGTGTTGTAATACGTCAGATATATTCCTAGCTTCCGATTGAATTTGTTATCTATAGGGAATCTATACGATGATCGCTACAACAGTGAGTTTGTTCGAGGTTGCTGGAAGCTCGAGAGGGAATCAAGGGTAGTGGCGACAGGCCATAATAGGTCTTTTGTTTATGTATCAGAGTTTCGGGTTGCCAAGGATTCACTAAGATAAAGAATGCACAGAGTAGCTGCAGATAGGTCAGGGCGAGACCTTAGAAGACCAGTAGCATTGATGGACAGAAAAGATCAAAATAATCTGCCAGCAGCTCCAGTTAAACAGTTGGGAAGTACAGAAAATCGAAAAATGGGAATTTGATAGCCATCGAGCTCATACCTCACCTGTTAGACATTCAAGCTGAAGAGATCGAATCCCGCAGTGGAATCGCATGAACGCGTGTGCTTCGATTTTGTTTTAGAAATACACCAAAGAAAAGAAAAAACATTATAAAACGGAAGTAGTAAAACATACCTTTGAAAACACTTCTTCAATGTTGACACCAATGCCACCAAAAAACCTTCCTCGCTATCCTCTGGATGTTAAGAACTCGGTTTGTAGGAACCGTTTTAAAATTGAAAAGGAGACCGAGAGATTGCGAGAGCGGTTTCTCATTAAAGTTTTGGTAAACTCATTCAACCGAACATAGAAAAGGGGAGAACCTCCATTTTATAAGGAAGGAAGGGTGAGGGGGAAGTCACAACTTCCCCACTCACCACCTCTCCATTTCCCACCATTAGAGAGAAGTTTTCTCCCTACCTCCCCACTTCCAACCGAGAGGTTTTTTTTTTCTTTGACTAAATTTTTTTATTAAATTATAAATTAATTAAATTAAATTTAATTAATTACAAAAAAGAATTATTTATTTAATTCTTAAATTAATTAACAGCTAAGCGATTTCATAATGTGAGCTTTCCTTAACCAGCTGACCTTTTTTCGTAACCTAGAATTTAATTTAACCAACTTAACATAACCCATTAATTTAATTAAATCATATTTAAGTAAATTAAACTTTAATTAATCAACCATATTAAAATCAAATTCAAATCTCTCTCATAATTTTGAATCCAATTAAAACTAACTTTATATCATAATGTATCAACATACATTATATTAATTGTATCTCATGCAATTAATTAACTGTTCACTTTAACAAATTTGAATAATTCAAATTCTTTTCAAGACTAAAATGTTCTTAACTATTAACCTAATGGACCTACATATCAGAAGCTCCAACAATACAAGATTAATTGATTAAACTCATTAACCATATTAATCAAGATTGGTTAACTGTTGGTCACTCTACTAAAGACCCACAACTACATTCTTCTCACTGTAGAATTTTTTGCGTCCATGGATTTTGACCATTATCAGTAAGTCAATCCTTCACGAGTGTTCGTAACCACAGCTAGGTCAAATTATAGTTTTACCCATTTGTTACATCTTGGACCTTAAGTACTATTCATCCTCTAATTAATAACACGGTTATGGTTCGACCAATAAACTGAAGTTCTTCGCAGGGCAGTGAGAGGGTGGGGCCCCTTATTTAAGTCCCGGAGTTGGCACTAAAAGGAACACTCATTTACTAACCCTAAAGTCGAGAGGAGTGAATTTCATCTTGTGTAGTTATGTTCCTAGCTCCCCTCTCGGTCTCGTGCCCAAAATGGTAGGCATAATGAGTAGGCGACTCAGGCCGCTCTCACCCATACAAATCAAAAGACGAGCCCTAACAAGCAAGAGTCTATAACTCACTCAGGATTGAGATCGAGTTACCTGGTCATTCTATTGAAATAGTATTCCATTAGCTAACGGTGTTACAGCTAAAGATTAATTATTTCGCGGTTTGGTCTTATACAAACTTATTGTATAGGATACCCTTACTCGCATGTCTCCACACCAATGACCTGGATCAAGTCATTTGTAACTATTATAAAGTGGGCCGTATCCATAATGTTGCTATGATAACGTAACCAACCTTATCCATATACTATAGACTCTTTGTGTTATTATACTGGAACATTATCTACCTGTAGATCGAATATATACTGTAGATATACATTGTATATTAAATTATATTGTATATCTGTTATATATTGTTCCAGTTACATGACGTAACCTTGGATGTTAGTTTATTGGATTTTGGTTAATGCAATTCTGAAAGAAATATCAATAACAAATTTATTGAATAAATATTTGTTTTATGTTTACAAACCACGAGTTTAGGGCATAAAACCCAACAAACTCCCACTTCAACTAAATTATAGTGGGGTGTACAAAATCTTAAAACAGTGAGTGTTATACAATACTATAAAGTAAAAATAAAATAAACTAGGACATACATTATACCCTTTACAAATCTCCCACCTGTCCTAGACTATATTGTACATATCTTGTAGACCTAGACTTTATAGATGACCCTCGAACACTTTAGTCATGAGAGTCTTTGTAAATGGGTCAACAATGTTATGCTCCTGTAAGGATCAAATCCTTAGCGGCATGCACCATCATGTAGTTTCTCGTTCTCCTAAGATACTCGAGGTTCCCTTAACGAAGTTTGTTGATATAAGTTGAATATCGACAAACTCCATTAAGTTACCCGGGATAGGGCTAGCATTTTGTTCTTTAGATTCCTTATGATTTGAATCCCCATAACAAACTGAGCATCTCCAAAATCTTTCATTTGGAGTTCAGTTGCTAGCCATTTCTTAATGTCAGTTAGGAAACCTACGTCATTCCCAATGAGTAGGATATCAACCACATACAACACCAAGAAAACTACAGTGTTGTTGATGTTATTCTTGTATAAACATTATAGTCAAAATCATAAGATTTGATTGCAGTATCAAATCTTATATTATAAGATCGAGAGGCTTGTTTTAATCTATAAATGGATCGTTTAAGCTTGCGAACCTTTTGCTCTTGACCTTGCTTAATGAACCCTTCTGGTTGAGACATATAAATACTCTCTTCGAGATTGCCATTCAGAAAAGCAGTCTTGACATCCATTCGCAAAACTTCATAGTCATAAAACATGGCAATGTACAAGAGTATTCTTATAGACTTTAGTATCGCAATCGAGGAGATGGTTTCTTCATAGATCACTTCTTCCCTTTAGGTGTAAGCATTTGCCACAAGTCTAACCTTAAAGGTATGTACTTTTCCTTCAGCGTCTCGTTTTCTCTTATAGATCCATTTACAACCTATAGATTTTACCCCATCAGGTTGATCTACAAGGTCCCAAACGAAACTGAAGTACATAGACTCCACTTTCAGCTCCATTGCTTTTACCCTTTTGTTCTTCTCAACATCTTTCATTGCCTTTTTGTAGGTCAAGGGATCCTCAACATCATATCAGGTATGACGATGTGAGTTTCTGTTAAACCTACGTAACAATCAGGTTGTGAAACAATCCTCCTACTATGTCGAGGCACTTCAACTCTTGAGATAGATGTGACTCACGTTATGTACTAGTGTCATAAACAATTCTTGTTGAAGTTCTAAAATTATCAACAACTCTTGTTAATGTATTTGTAGCTTCATCAGAAATCTCATTTAACATAACCATGCTTAGTGGCTTATGATCTCTCATGAATGAATGTAGTGTTTGTCGATACAATCACTTTGTTTTCTTTTGGATCGAAGAAGAATTCACCTCTCGTTTCCTTGGGATAACCTACGAATAGGTACACTTTTAAACGAAATTCCAGTTTCTTCTAGTTTATCACTAACACATGTGCTGGACATCCCAAAATTATGAAGTGACGTAAACTAGTACGTCCTCTCCATAGTTTAAAAGGTGTTTACAAAACACTGTTTTATGAAATTGTGTCCAAAATGTATATGCAGTCTCCACTGCATAACCCCAGAACGAGGCAAGCAGTTGAGCATAGCTCATCATAGATCAAACCATGTCTAACAAGGTTCTATTTCTCATTTCCGATACACCGTTATGTTGAGGTGTACTAGGTGCTCAGAGTTGGGACGTAATTTCACGCTCTATCATATAGTCCTGGAATTTTAAGTTCATATACTTTCCACCCTGATCAGATTGAAGTGTCTTTATTGTCTTACCTAATTGGTTATCAACTTCAGCCTTGTACTCCTTAAACTTTTTAAGGGTTTCAGACTGATGTTGCATTACGTAAAGATATTCATATCTTAAATAATCATCTATGAAAGAGATGAAATACTCATACCTTCCGCTGGCTGTAACATTCATCGAACCACAAAGTTCTGAATGTACAAGCTCCAAGGGTTCTTTGGCTCTATAACCATTTCTAGTCAAAGTTCTTATACTCATCTTGCCGTCAAAACAAGATTCACATGGAGGTAAGAAGTCATTTCTAACTCGCTTAGAAGTCCACACTTAACCAATCTCCCAATCCTATTGAGATTTATGTGACCTAATCTTAAGTGCCAAAGATAGGTGTTTTCTTTTGGAGAAGTTATTTGGCTTTTATGTTGAGTTTTAGCATTTTTAAACAACACTGTACATAAAATTGTTGCAGTTGTAGTTGGTCTCAACACATATAACTTGTTTTCAAGTTTTGCATAACAAGTATTAACACCATTATTTCGTGAAATGTACACTTCATTTAACGAAAAAAGAAATAACATAACATTAATCTAGTAGACAAGAAAATGAAATTAAGTTCCTCTTTATTTTGGGAACTACGTGCACATTATCTAATAATATATATGTATTCTTGCCTAATACAACTTTAGGTCTCCCATTGCAACTGCTGAGATGACATCGCTCGTTCCGAACTTGAGAGTCATCTCCCAAGCATCAAGCTACCTCTAGAAACTAATTCCCTGAAATGAAGAACAGACATGGTTAGTGGCCCTTGAATCCAATATCCAAGCGGAATCATCATTCTCCACTAAGTAAGATTCAAGAACAAGTAAATCATATGTACCTTCTTTGACTTTCTTATTTTCGACCAAGTATTTTGGGCAGTTTCTTTTCCAGTGCCCATCCACGTTGCAGTAGAAACATTTTCCTTTGTCTGCAACTTGGGCCTTGACGTTCTTGGCATCAACAACATTAGTAGGGTAAGCTTTCGGCCCTTTACCACTGTTCTTTTTCTTCTTGAAAGTCTTCCTTCCAGAAGAAGAAAATATAGATTTTGTTCCTGAGGTCGAACCTCGATGGAACCGTTTTGAGGTGGCAACATTTGTCTTCACTTCTTATCCCTTATTTTCATAAGAGACTGAAAGATTTACAGCTCATTCAATAGCATGGTAAAGTTGTATTCTATCTCGTTCATCACAACATTGTTACTGAACTGTAGAAACTCTTCGTAAAAGATTCCAAGATAAAGCTAACCTGGCTCCCCTCATCTATTACAGCCCCGTTCACTTCAGCCACAATAAAGTGGACCATTAGATTGAGAACATGTTCTCGCACTGATGTTCTCTCTTTCATGCAGGAATTGTAAATGAACTCGAGGGTATTGTGCCGGGCTTGAATGGATGGTTGTCCAAACATGTCTTGCAATGAGTCCATGATTTCCCTTGCGGTAACCATACTTTCATGCTTCTTGGCCAGCACATCAGATGTGCTTGCCAAGATGTAGACGTTCGCCTTATCTTGGTCCATCTGTCATAGGCATCCCGATTCGCTCGGGCTACATTAGGATAGGGAACCTGAAGACATTCCTCACTTAAGACGAACCTAAGATCATTTACAACGAGTATCTTGTTAAGATTCATTTTCCATTGTGTGTAAGTTTTGCTGTTAAGTTTTTCGATGGCAAGCAAACCAATGATAGAAGTAGACATGCCGAAATACAAACAAATCTATAAGAGATTATTGCAGTACTGATTAAAACCAATCAAGTTTAGCAAAGAGTAATAATGTACCCAAACCATCAAAATTATTTATGCAACAATACTTCAGTGATTTAGAGCAACAGCTAACGTGGGGCAATCAGCTAGTTGTAAAGTCAGAATAGTGGGACGAGTTTCTGCTATATCTAACTCTTTAAAGACTGAAAGAAGCATAAGATTAATGCTTGCTCCTAAGTCACACAATGCTCTCCTTAGATTTTTACCACCTATCGAGCAAGGGATAGTAAAACTACCTGGATCCTTACATTTAACAGGCAATGGATTCCCTATAGCACCAGTACTACATTTTGTTAGGGATACCATCTCATGCTCTCCTAACTTATTACTCCTACAAATAATATCTTTCAAAAACTTGTTGTAGTTAGGTATTTCCTCTAAGGCATCTATGAGAGGTATATTTATATGCAACTATTTTAGAATCTCAAAGAAATTCTTAAAATGACAATCCTGATTTTTCTTAACTAATCTTTGGGGGAAAGGTGGAGGGATCTTAACATTACGTACCTGCAAAGTAGTGTAACGCACTACTTGCTTACCTCTATCCGTTTTCTTACCTTTCTCTTATAGACTTACGGGTTCTGCTTTCTCTTCTGGTTGTGGAGTGGAGGTGGATGCAGGAACAGGTGTAGCTACATCGGTTCCTTCATCTGAAAGTGAGGGTCCATCATAACTTAGTCTGCTTCTTGTGATGATTGTCTTACACTGCTCCTTACCTTCACGATCTCGCTTCGGATTCTCTATTTGTCTTGGCAGTGTACCTTGTGGTCTAGATTTTAGGTCATTTGCTATCTGCCCCAATTGCATCTCCAAGCTTCTCATCGCAGCATCAGTCCTTGTCATGTATTATTTCATCATGGCCTCCAAACTTGCATTTTTACCACTTTGCTGACTGTTATTTTGAGCTCTTTTTTTATTATATTGTTGTGGCGGCAATGCGGGTTGAGTAGGAAAATCAGGTGGAGTGGAGTTTTGTATGAATTGTTGAGTGGGTGCTTGCACACTGCTACTTGCTCCTCCATAGTTACTCCAAGAGAAGTTTGGATGGTGCCTCCATCCAGGGTTGTAGGTATTTCATTAGAGATTGAAATTCCACTGGGCACCTTGACCTACATAGAAAACAGACGCTGGATTAGCTGGACAAATATAAGTGGTTATCACCATAATAAACACAAGATATATTTGAAATTTGTAAAACAGGAGAGGGTTCAAGAATCGCCGCTGAAGTGGCGGTTTTGGTTTCCTTTTCCATTGTCAGTTGCTTTAACATCTAGTTCATAGCCGYCATTTGGGCTTGCATTGAGGCTACTGTGTCTAACTCAAAGATTCCGACTGATGCTTGCTTCTTTGGCAATAGCCTTTCTACTTCTCCTTGCTCATTAATGTCTGTCATCTTGTTCAAAATATCAACGATCTCATTAACCGACTTTTCTAACAATAAGCCATTAGCTACAGTGTTCAACATGATTCTCGATGAACGATCCAATCCCCTTTAGAACTGTTCAATCTGCACACATGCGGGCAATCCATGGCTCGGGCATCTTCTAAGTAACTCTTTGAAACACTCCAAGCTTCTTGGACTGTTTCGTTCTCTTTTTGTCGAAAAGACACAATGTCTTCTCGAAGATCTGCATTCCTAGTCAACATATGGTACTTTGCCAAAAATTTCTCCATCAATTCTACCCACGTGGTGATAGAATTTGGTTATAGTGAGTTTAGCCAAGTTCTTTCACTGTCCCTGAGAGAAAAATGAAACATTTTTAGTCTTAGTGCATCTTCAGAGACACTAGGAAGTTGAAATGCATTAGCTATTTCAATAAAAGATTTGAGATGGGAGTAAGGATCTTCATTAGTCAATCCTCCGAACTGGCCCATCGTCTGCAACATCTGGAAGATGACTGGCTAAGCTCGAATTGTGCGGCTTGAGGTAAAGGATTACTTATCCTTGAATTTAAGTTGTGGAACGCACGAGTGACATAGTTCCGCATGGCTACATCTCGGTTATCTGCTAGAAAGATCAGATTAGGAACTTCTCCTGTTGCTCGGTTGGCTACTTCTTCACCTGCCATATCTCCATTCACAGGTGGATCTTGTGGAGGTCGAGGATCTTGTGGATTTCTATTCATCTCGATGGTCTCTTCTTCAACTTCTACTTCTTCAAATTCTACTTCTTCAACTTCTACTTCTTTTACTTTTTTTCTCTTTTTGATTTTCTCTTTCTTTTCTATCCTTTTAAGGGTTCTTTGAATCTCTGGATCAAAGGTCAACCAACCAACCCTGTGCTTATACACAACTCCATTAAAGGTTAGATATAACAATTAATTCCAATGACAGAGGTATGCAACAATCACACATGAAACAATTCACTTAAAATAAAATATATATGATTTTGAAAATTAAGTCCCCGTCAATGTCGCCAAAAATTTGTTGGGACTGTTTCTACCTTTAAAAAGATTAGAGATTCGTGCAAGTGCACACGGTCACAAGTAATACTTGGGAGTAATCGAAGGTCAAATCCTCAAGGACTTGTTGCTTTCAAAACAGTTTTTAAGAAGTGAATGGTTCAAATATGCAATTGTGGTTTATGAAGAAAATAGTAATGAAATGTTGTTTTTGGGGTTTTAAATATCAAGCAATTTAATAAAACTCAGCCTCTTTGCTTCCTACCTTAGTTTTGATGTAAAACATGGGAAATACACACTGTTGGGAAAATGCACTAGGCGTAATTCTAGCTTTTCTTGGGAAACTGACCTCTACTCTTTAACTACCGCTTTTGGTTGCTGTAGAGGCTAGGTTAACTTACAACCATATGTCTATGTGTGATTACAATCCTAGAGAATAATTATAACCTCATTTGCATTACGGGTTAAAAGGCCTATGCTAGGACTATGTTTTATGCGCTTATGTCTAAGTCACATCCCATATTGGTTTCCTATTATTTTACCTAACTCACCCTTCTCAGGGTTGGGTTTTAGTGTATAAATGAAGTTCCCACTGACCACATGGAAAAAAGTCGTGAAGATAAGTTTTTAGAAGCTAACCCAAAGATGTGTCAGACACAATTCTGGGCAAATCCCGAGCGTGTTGATGATGGGATGTGAATCCCAGAGCGGAAGCAGATCATTGTTCATGAATTTTTAAGAAACAAAATCAAATGTGCAAGAATAAGAAATGCAGGGAAAACTTACATTTGAAGAACAGTTCTTCAATGATTTCCCGACGAACACCACCAAATGATCTTCCTGCTATCCTCTAGGAACGAATACCTTACTTGTGGGATCAAAGATTGGAAGGCAAGAGAGAAAATTGAGAGAGATTTTGCTTGAGAGAGCTTTCTTGCTTTTACAGGGGAAGAACCACTGTACAGGTTTAAACAAAAGTGACGTGGAGTAACTCCCCACGTCACAACTTCCCACTCCCTTACAATTTTGCAGAGGAGTTTTTAATTAAACGTAGTAATTAATATAATTATTAATTTAATTAATAATTAATAAATTAATTTAATTATTAATAAAATAAATTTAATTATTAATTATTAATCTAATTAATAATTAATTAATTAAATCTAATATTAATTAAATAAACAATTAACAATTAATTATTTAAAATTTAATTAAATATCATATATTTAATTAAACCCATATATTTGAATCTTATTCAAATGCATCTCTCTCGTATAACTTATAGTCGTAATGTACATCTTATGCACATTATTTTTAACCTATAATTTTAATATGAATCTTATTCATATTAATTTTGATTTGAATCTCATTCAAATAATATCTCTCATAATGTATAGTATTAATTTAGAATTAACTATATATTATAATGTATCAATATACATATATTCCCTTGAACAATTTGAACAGTTCAAATTCTTCCAAAAACTGAATCCTCATTTTACCCGTTATGAGCTAGCAAGGGGACCTAATGGACCTATAGATTAGAAGCTCCAACAATATAAGATTAATCGGTCAAACTCATTGACCGAGTTAATCAACATTCGTTAACTACGGGTCACTCCACTAAAGACCCGCAGCTGCACTCTTCTCACTGTAGAATATTTTCGTGTCCACGGATATACAACCATTAATGGCAAGTCAATTCTTCACGAGTGTTCGTAACCACAGATGGGTAAAATTACCATTTTACCCCTGTATTACATCTTGCTCCTTAAATACCACTGCTCCTCTAATGAACAACCCTGTTATGGTCCGACCAATAACCGGAAGTTCCTCTCGGGCCAGTGAGAGGGTGGGCCCTTTGTTCAAATCTCGGAGTCAGCATTTAAGAGAACACTCATCTACTCCCTAAAGTCGAGGAGGAGTGAATTCCATCTTGGAAGTTATGTTCCCAGCTCCCCACTCGGTCTCGTCCCCAAAATTGTAGGAATATTGAGTCGACATTTCGGGCCACTCTCACCCATACAGATCAAAGGACGAGCCCTCATGGGTAGAAGTCCACAACTCACTCAAGATTGAGAATGAGTTGTCTGGTCATCCTAAGAAATAGCAATCTATTAGTTAACAGTATTACATCTAAAGATTGACTATTTTACGGTCCGGTCTTATACAACCTCATTATATAGGATACCTCCACTCGCATGTCTCCACACGAACGACTTGGATCGAGTCATCTGTAACATTTACAAACTGGGTCGTATCCATAGTGTTGCCAGGATAATGTACCGAACCTCATCCATATACTATAGACCCTTTAGGTTATTCACGAGACATTATCCACTCGTATATC